AACGCTACCCCAGACGCTGGTTCTGGTCGGCGAGGGTGAGTTGTTTTGATGTTGATTGGAATATCCGTAGCCGGCGAAAAACATATTGCGGTAATTGTTCCTCATTTGCACACGAAAAATATGACTTCCCGTACGAATAGAATGGTCCTCGAATCGAATCACACGCGAAATCACGCGGCCATATATATATATGTACAAAACAAACGTACGTAATAACTATGCACAACAATATAGTAACAAACAACGATAATAACAAGGTGAATAATAGTTTTGTGATAATACTATGATAACTTGTACTTTCAACGGGCCTCTTTGGCACCTTTATTTGGCACAGAGCATCACTGTACTAGAGTTCTCAAGCAAGCGTTATCAACGCAAACGTGATCCAACACCATCAAAAGCCCTCTCTCGTCGGTCTTGTTAAAAAGCTATACCGAAATCCAACGATTATTCGTGGCGTAATTCGGTAGCTCGTGACCCAATGAACATTCGAAAAAGTTGTTTTCCACAGTTTCGATTCCCACACTAAAACTGTGTTAGCACGGTCGACCTATATGCTGCTGGATCGATCAATGCAGAGATAACTCTCGCTCAAGACGACGCGTCGGATGATTCGCACTAACCGTGTCCCGATGCACTTCCTAGTCACTAAACACCTTTTCCGCGAAACGCCGTTTCGAGTCTGTTTCGCGTAAACTCCTGTTCGATACGAACGATCTGAGACAAGAAAGGATCGAAACAAAAAACGAAAGCGAAAAACACAACGAAAACGCAGTCTGGCACGCGTTGAGACCACGACAAAATCACCCTGTCACTGAATCAGCAGTTTATATTTTAGCACAGTCCTTTTGGAGAATGGTAATAAGAGATTTCTCGCTGGTCGTCTGTCGTCTTCCATCGTGTCCGACGACCAAAACCACCGTCGATCGAACGTTCGTAAACTTTCGATCGCAAACTATTTGTTTTCTCGACCAAACGATGATACCGAGGGGAATTTCCAAACGCTTGGCTCGGTCAGGCGTTGCCTTTATAGATAACGATTAACGAATGTACTTTCGACGAAATGAAGACACTGTTGGATACCGCACGTGACATCACAACTCTCAACCTACTCCAGCGATAGATTGAACGCAACTGAGGCAGGCGTCGATGCGACACGGACGCGACACGGCTCACGTTCTGATCGAGGGGAGGCACGAACGGAGGGTTTAAGGTCGAAAGATTCGTGCGGCTGGTCGAGGAGCAAAACGGAGGCCTACGTATGGACCCCAGCCGAATGGGCTAACGGCGGGGGGGGGGGGGGGGGGGGCGCGGGAAGGGGGGGGGGGGGGGGGGGGGGGGGGGGGGGG